GTTTTTATTAGTAGATGATAAATAGAAAAACCTCAAATTTGCATTATATCTGCCACCTCCTCATTGCTTATGCCATGAAATTAAATTTCTCTTACACAGCAGAAATATATTCAAAAACATTATATACTTTCTTTAAGTATTGCTGCATAAGCACCTGCTTTTTATAGAATATTCACAGCAACCTTTCCTGGGTATGTTAATTTAGAAAGTCTGTTATTTTATTATTTAAAGTGCAATTACTTGTACTTTTGATATTGTATCTAATCTTTACTGAATATCTTGCATGTACTTAAAGCCCATATAATTGGATTGCGCTCATTGTTTTTAGGACTATTTGTTGTTTCAAAATAGACTACCAGTAAGAGGTTTCATTTTTAATTTTAATTATTTTTGTTCTCTGCAATATAATTATTTATATCACATCTATTGTGAGTTTTGTTGGTCTAATACTGCTTTTACAAAAATTGATATGTAGAAAATTTTATATAAATTACTTGTATAAGCCATGATATTTATTTTGATATTTGATAAAAACAAATTTTTAACTTTATTTAAAGTTTCCTTGTAATTTTGCATGAGCTAGTGCTGAAAATTTCTCAGCCTTACTTGGAAGAGATTTAAAAATGAAAAATAATCTGTTTGGTCAGGCTTTGGGAAGTTGGTTAAGATGAACTTTTCAGTACCTTGTATGTTACAATCTTCATTTTGGTGAAGATCATGTCATTTAATCTTCACTATATTGTAGTACTGATCTTCAATTGTCAGATCCTCATAGAGAAACACCTGCAACATCAGAAGGACATGTTCCGCAAGTTTGATTTCAAGAAAGCATTTGATCATGTATGGCATGATGGTCTTAGTCAAATCATTAGAGAATTCAATGTAGATAACAGAATTATCCAAGTCATTCAGGCCCTATATAAAGGTGCCACCAGCGCAGTTCTGGGAAAGCAAATGGGAGGTTTTTTCCAGACAACTGTCGGTGTGCGACAGTGATGCGTACTTTCACCCACATTGTTCAACCTATTTCTGGAGAGAATCATGCAAGAAACCTTTAACGACCATGATCCCTCAATCTCTATCAGTAGAGACCCATCTGTAAGTTGTGTTTTGCATATGACATTGACCGCATAATGGGTAGTAACAGTGAGCTCCAGGACTTGTCCAACAGACTTTTTAAAAGAGCAAGAGCATATGGAATAGAGGTCAGCTCCAAGAAATCCAAAGTAATAGTGAATGGCACAAACAGTAACACCTGTGTCAACATTACCATGAATAGGAATTCACTTGAGGTAGTGTCCAGTTTTAAATACTTACGAGCAATCTTGTCTAGAGATGGTACTTGCAACTTGGAAATCTGTACACAGATTGCCACAGCAATGGCCAAATTGACAAAAATATGGAGGTGCAAAATCAGCTTTCAAACCAAGTAAAGACTGTACAAATCACTAGTAGTCTCTATTCTCCTATAGGGATGTGAAACGTGGACACTCTTGGCAGATACAGAGATAAGGATCTAAGCATTTGAGAACAATTGCATGAGAAAACTCCTTAGCATTTTCTTTTGGGAATAAAAAAACAATGAGTTTGTGCGGAAAAGGGGTTAAAACTTTTGTGAGACACCAGGAGCCTCTTCTCGCTACTGTCAAAGGGAGAAAAATTACATGGTTTGGACACATTACATGGCACGACAGCCTGTGCAAGACCATCATGCAAGGTACTGTTGAAGGTGGACATGGGAGAGGACACCAATACAAAAACTGGTTGGACAATGTCAAACAGTGGGCAGGTATGACTACCAGAATTGCTGATGGCTGCTGTTGGTAGACCGTTGTGGAAAAGAGTTAGTGTGGTTTCTGCATTCGGATCCTTGCTATGATTACGAAAGTTGATGATGATACTGTAGTACTATGATCATAATAAAGTAATGTTATGTATTTAGTATTAAATTGTGTTTTAAGTCCATCATTGTTGCATATCAATTTCACTCTTTGCAAAGGTGTTATTGCTACTTTCCTTATTTCCTTTTTTATTTCATGCTAAAAAGGTAGATGAATGTTATAAATTCTTCAATAGGCTATTATACTGCAATGCATTGATAAATCATGCAACTTTCTTTAAAACTTTTTTCTGATTTTTCCTTTTTACTACCACTTGTAGCTACATTTACAATAATCCATTTATTGCATCGAATCCACTGTCTTTTGAAACTTTCTTGGGTAATATAAAGTTCATCCAATTTATTTAATAAAAATAAGATGGTTTTCTTTATTGAACAATATTTTTGTTTTGTTCCATTATCTTCTGACATCTTTCAGACAACTTCATAGAACTGTTTTTCATGCCCTTTTCTGTCTTCTAAGGAATAGATTTTTTTTTTTTTTAAAGACCAGAATAAAAGGTAATCTGATTGTGCAATATCTGCTGAATACAGCAGATGAGGGAAAACTTCCTTGTAATCATTTTTACCTGATCACTAAAGAAGCAGTGTTTACCTTTATCCTGATGATATATTATACATTTACTCATAACTAATTTTGGATATTTTTCACCATTTGTTACCATAAGTTGGTTTCTTTGAATCCATCATTTGGTTCCACTTCTTTCCAGTTCCACTCTGTAGATATCATCAGCTTCTTCAAATGAAGAGCAACTTTTTGGTACTGTTAGTGGTTGTTCATTTTGTTTGCCATACAATCTCTTGTGCTCCAAGCTGCTGAATTTTTTTTTTTTTTTAAACTGTTATCCCAATTTATCTAAAAAAAAAAAAAAAAATCATACATTTAAACCTTTGCACTCAACCCACCCTGTAAATATTGGTGCTCCCACTGTAAACTGCATCATGTATACTCTGACATGATATATGACGATATCATTTCAAATAATGCAGGAAGTGACACAAACAGTGAGACTTTGAGAGCCAATATTTACAGGGTATCTTTGAGCATGTTGAATGCTAAAGGCTTAAGTAAGGTTCAGTAAAATTTTTTTTTTTTTTTTATATAGAATCCACATATGAAAACAGCTAGCTAAGCTGATGCAAATAATTTTCAATGCTTGATTTTTATATTTTGACTGTCTATTTGTTATAATAATTGTCTTGATTTGATCAATATTTATGTAATTTGATCTGCCTGACTGTGGAGCATGCTTCAGTGTTAAATCTCCAATATAAAATATCACAAGCCACTCTTGATATATTCAAGCATTCAATGTACCTTCTCCATAAACTACATAAATGTATTTTTTTGTATTTGATTTACCTTTTCAAAAAAATATAATTTTCTAAAAATTTTTCCTTTGTTAGAATTTAATAAAAAAAAAAAAAAATATCAGTTTTGTCATATTTTAAAAAATGTACATTGATATAAAGATGTCACAGTTCACTTTTACTAATGCAATCTATTAAGAAAAAACAACTTTTTGACCAACCCAATAATATGCACTAATTTTAGCAACATTGATTTGAGCTTTTTATTTTTCTTAATGTCTACCATTTTTAACATAATAGAATTGAAGTTAACTCATTATTAAATTGAATTGTTGCATTTTAATCCAAGTTAGTGATTCTCCGTATAATGAAAAATCAGCAAATCTCAAACATCCATCTTTATATTTTTATATTTTGGCATTGTATGTTCATCATACCAATAATGGATTTATAGGCAGCACTATTCTCATTGATAGAATTTAATGAAAATGGAAAATATTCTTTCTCACAAAGATGTTCTAAATATAAACCACATGCAGTACAGTGTATCTGCAATCAAACAAAATTATTTTATAAAAAAATTAGATTTTATGACTTTTCTTTTTTTAACTAATCCATTTAACTTGTCATTCATGTCCCAAAATGTAACTTCATTACTTGATTTTAAATTAGTGAATATTTTTATCTAAATGATTTACCAAGGTTTATTTGAAATTTTAAAGAAAGCAATTTATTTTGAAAACTCTTAAAATAATTGATTTCAGTTTCTACAGTGCATGATGTTGTAAAATTAGATTTATTGCTTAAGTGTTTTCCAAACTTTTCAATGAATTTACAATAATTATTAGGTACCAGACACAAAGTATAGAATAATTTGTAAAGATTTTTATAGTCATAACAGATGTTTGTGTTGTTACATTATTCAATGCTTTCTACAATTTAAATATATTGTCAATATTTCTTTGTGACAATTTTAAAGTTTGTATAGAACAAACTGAAATTTATAAGCTACAAGTCTTTATTTCTGCTTGTAGTTATCAATTCAGTGTCAAATTGACTAAAATATTTATTAATAGAAATCTTGCAGACTAAAAACTCTAGAATGAGCCTGCAGTTTGAGTAAATTACTTGTTCTAGTTTGTATGCCAATAACTCATATTAACAAGTTTCAGGCAAAAGTTCATCTTCAGATGGATTATTTTATTTAATCAGTTGACTAGCAGATTTTCAACTTCAGATGAATTATTTGTCTAATCCACACAAACCTTTCATCTCATGTTTATCATTTTGCTGAGAAGAATCTCTTACATCTCTGCATTACTAACATCAAACTACTCAAATCTACTGGAGCATGCTATATAAGCTCATGCTACTTAAAAAGACTGTAAAGTAGAGATTTTGAGTGGGATGGAGGAAAGAAAGAAAGAAAGACTTCACTTTCAACTGCTATTTCAAGATTTTCTGAAAGATGGAATTGAAAAAAAAATCCCCTTCTCTTTTGAAGTGAACCTAAGAATACTTGCCTGCATAAATAAGTTAATTGACCTGGATAAATTCTTTCAAACATGGGTTGATTTAAAAATGCTTAATATTTGTTTCAGTAAGTGAATAAATTTGTTTTATTAGACTTTGTCAGAAAAGTAATGATAATCATCCACAGTAGCAACATCCTTATCTTTATGGTGATAATTTCTCAGTAACAGCCTAAGATAAAATAACTAAATAGCCCTGTCATCTTCATCCTAATTATGAAAACTGATTATCAACATCATTAACCATAAAAATAGCTTACAGCCATATCATGTTGAAATACCAGTTCCCATATGATCACCAAATTTAAGCAATATCAAGCCTGTTCAGTACCTAGATGGGTGACCTCTTGGATATGCAGGTGGTGTAATCGATAATAGCTTGGAATTGTTAATGAGAGAGCAGTGCTCTAATTTCAGTTTGGTTTGTTATATTCACTTACACACAAATACCCTTGGGAAAGGTATAAATCCACCTCTTCTCCCCCTAGTTATGGGTCAATTAGTAAAACTTGTATCACTAAATTATCATCCCCCAACAAACACACCAAAAAAAAAAATAATCCTTATAATCTAAAAATATTTTCTAGCTTTAAATAACTTGTAAAGGGTTGATAAACTATAGAAAATGAATAAATCAATCAAACCAACTATGAAAACTATTTTCAATAGTAGTATCATAGTAATTACTATAATAATAATGATGCTAATTAATGTTTTGCTTATTCTTTTCTTTTCCTAAATTTGATTATAAAATCATTTCACTTCATTTATTCTATTTATACAGCATGTATTAAATATTTTTCACTTTCATTTTAGAATAATATTCCACAATTTGCAGGTCAACCACAGATACCCACTTTAACAACCCCAAGCTAAGGGTGCAGCCTATCTGCGAGTATATATGGTATACACTTTTTTTTTTTTTCTGAAAGTCCTACTTTACATGTAGGACTTTCTTTTATTTATTTATATATATATATATATAAGAGATGGCCAAACAGCAACTTGCAAGTTGCACATAACTCCTTTATGCCTAATAGAATTATGCTCATAGAATTAGCTTAGCCGAATTACTTTTCTTCTCACAGTTAATATAAAAAGCAAATGAAAAAAAAATTTCATGTTTTATAATAATTTATGGACCATGAGCTGCAACTATATTGGATAAATTTTTACTTTTCATAGTTAATAAAAATATTAAAGAATTTAAATATTAATTTTAATACTAGATTTGAATGAAATATTGTTCCCATACTGTTGATGAATAAATGATGGGTGGAGGTGGTTGCAGGGGGATTAATAGAATTTCAGGTTGGTAAAAAGGTTACAGCAGAATATTTGTCTTTTTGACCTCTGATATCTGAAGTTTATCATGTATGACTCTTATAGCCACCCCTGGTTTATACAGATGTTCCTAGCCTTTAAAATATGCATGATTGCTTAATCATATAGCCCTATTTTCTCAATATTAGAGTATCATTTACTCATGAACACATATTCTCTGAGCTCTACTTTAAATTAAACATTATGTGAGTATACACACACAAAGCTGCTGATAAAATTTTAAACCCCAGATTTTAGCATTAAAATTATATCATGAACAAGGGTTTCATATGTCTTTGTTGCTTTAAAAGCAGAGAAGAAAGATTAATCCTATTATGTGAAATTAAAACTTTTAGTCATCATCAAAATGAATATAAAGGAAATTATTTTACCTTTTGAGAAATTTAATAACAAAACAGCAAAAAGTTGGGAAATGTTTTCTTGCAATGAACTGACACTGGATTTTATTGATGTTTTAAGATGCAGGATTAGTTTTAGCAGAACATCATTTATTCTATAGATGAAAAATATATAATATCTATTAACCATCTTTTAAAAAAAAAAAAAAACTACATGCAAAAATAGTCGTAGGTTATATTGCAAAAGATCCACAATTGAAAATTAAAAAAAATAGTCGAGCTAATATTAAAGCTGTGTGTGTAATAGTTTCAATATTTGCTGTATAGCATTTGTCATCAGTTTTTAACTTGGTATCTATGCTGATGATACAACTATTTACTCCTGTCTTAATAGTAAGTCTGATTGGTTCAATAAGCTCAAATTGGCAACTGATCTCAAATGACCTACACTCTATTGTTAACTAGGGCAAGGAATGGCTTGGTGATTTTAACCCCTCCAAAATGAAACTGCTCTTATTTTAATTTAAGAGAACCCTTTTTTCCTTCCATCAGCAAGATTGGTGCTAATCTCCAGGAGAGTGACTCATTTCCATTTCTTGAGCTAATATTTTCTGCTGACATGAAGTTGAAAGATTATATTGAATCAATTGTTAGTTCTGCTGCCAGAAAAGTTGATTCACTGAGTCATGCTATCTATCTTACATATTTATAAGTCTACTATTAATCCTAGCTTTGAATATTGCTGTCACATCTGGTCTTGTGCTCCTGCTATATATTTAGAGATTCTTGATGAAATCCAAAGAATCTGCAATGTTATTGGTCTTGACCTGGCATCTTGACTTCAATCACTTTCCCCACTGTTGTAATGTAGCTTTCCTGTGCCTTTTTTCTATAAATACGTTCATGGTAATTGTTCTGACGTACTTTCCTCTATGGTACCTAGACTTTATGAATTTAAGTGTAGTACTAGATTGTCAGCAAGGTCTCATTTTAAAATTGAGATCACTAGATGTAACCATAAGTTCTATGGTAATAGTTTCTTCTATCACACTTCTCACTTGTGGAACTCTCCTGACTTCTTGCTTCCCAGTCAATTTTGCATTCAAATATCAATGTCAATGATTATAATCTGTCTTATTCCTGTTCTTTTGTTTTCTCTCCTTGATAGTCTTTTGTCTTCTCATATTCTTGAACACACAGTACCCTCCTCCCACCCACTGAGTCTTAGTGGCTTTATTGCCTTGCTTGGAGTGAAATGATTTTAAAAAATTGTCTATTAGGCAAAAATAATGACAATAATGGTATATTTGTGTATATAACTAGTGTTAGGCAGTGAAAAGTTATGAATTATTAATCAGACCTGCTATGTTTTTACCTGAATATATTCAAATACAAGAAATAACATTGCTGTTTTGACTTTTCAGTATATTTATCAAATGATCTAATTATTTAATCTCAATTGAATATATTTTATTTTATTTTTTCTTAAGAATTTACAGACCACTTCTGTAAAACTGGTTTCCAAAAATAGTGAAATTTAATTTACTAGTTAATAAAAATTCATTTTATATTTAACAAAAAAAATAAAGATGATATATAATTCATTGATTCCAACTGACATTTCATTTATAAAGGTTTACAAGTAATGCTTAAAATTGATAATACTGCCTTTTCCTGGTGCATATTAAAAACATTTTTAAAATAGTAACTTCTTAAACTTTTGTATTTGAATTTAAGTGGTCACTCCAGAAATGAAATAAAAAAAGAAAAAAATTCAAATTGTTGAAAAGAAAACAATAAAAAATATTTTTTTATATTGCCAGAATGGAAAACAATGTTTCTTTAAGTACAAAATAAAGTTTTTACAATTAAGTACTTTTTGAATAGGAACAGTTTATTTCAATAATGATACTTTTTACTTAACTATTGTGTATTTGAAGTTCCTAGGTATGTAGGAGTGTGTGAGTTCACACACACACACACACACACACACACACACACACACACACGCTTAAAGTAGTGCTAAAATGATAATTATTTTTGTTTGCACAATATTTTTCATTTAAGATGCAGCATTTATCTCTCTCTCTGAATGTATAGTAATTAATTAATGATACAAAAACCAATAGTGTAATTTATGCAAAAAAATTTAATAGATTGATTTTCTTTTAAAATGTTTACTTATCTGTCTCTACTGTGAATTTTGCAGAGTTTGCATCCACTTGTCAAAGGGCTTGATAGTAAAATTGAACTTATTTACAAAAATATGATTGATTGCCTTAAAAGAACTATCTTCCAGAATTACCCAGGTTGACAGTTTTTTTTTTTTTTTTTTTTTAACTTATTGTTATATATAATGTGTGTGAAAAATTAAAGTTTTAAAGGTTAATATATGAACTAACAGGTATGGTTTATAATGAGCCTTTCCACCCTCATCCTATTAATACCTCTATTTTATGAAGTTAGCAAAATAAATCTGGATAAGTTTTGAAGGATTGTTACTTTTGATAATAATAAGCATTTTTTTTTTCTTTAAAATATGTGGGTGCAATCTCTATACAGTAATACATAAAAGTATTGGATACATGATTTCTACTATTACCACTAATCTAAAACTTTAGCTGAAATATTACTTAGGATATCCAATGCATTAGGAGAAATAAAGAAGCATTTACCTACACATAAATTTATTGATAAATGCAACACTGACATGTAGAAGTTTTGGATACATTAATAAACAGTGTATCAATTATTTCATGTCAGACATTTTGAACTAAATTAAGGTAAGCTTCTTGCAGAAATTAACACTTTTTTTTTTTTAAATCCCATTTCTGTTAGAAAATTGCCTTATGATCACTCAAGTATTGGAAATTCCTCTGATGAACTTTAGCTATAATCTCCTACAGATTTTCTATAATTTAGGTGAGATGACTGACTAGGCCACACTAAAATCTTTATTTGCCTTGAACCACTGGTATCATTATCTTGCTGAAAAATCCAATTGCTCAGTAGTTTGGGAAATGTTACAGGTAGAATCATGTTGTTCTCTTGTTCTTTGTCATGCATAGTGCTATCCAAGGTTCCTCTGATGATGCGTGGTGCACCTGAACCAATTCAAGGTAAACAACTCCAAATCATATTTTTCACTCCTGTCTTAAACTTATTTTGTCCCAGAAGGAAGCAGATTTTAATAATGGATAAAATCTAGACAAACTTGATATATCTAGGTTTTTACAGAGCAGTATCTATAAGAATTTAAGAATGCAGTCCTACTTGGTGGGGTGTCCAACTAACTGTAACCTTGCTCACTTCTGTGCCAGCTGCATGCAGATCTTAAATTTCTCCTTGAGATGTGCATTACTTTGCAACAAATCATTTTTAAATGATGTCACTAATAATATTTATGGTATCTTGAGTTCATTGGAAATATTTTGATATACCATTCTACAAATATGATGCTCAATTATCATCTCACAGAATTCTTGAGAGAGAGAGTTCTTTTGTCTTCTGTGAAAACCTTCACAAATGCCTACCAGACTTTTAGTGATTACTCTATATATGTCATCATTGAGTTTTCATTCATGGTGCATGTCATGATCTAATAGGTTGGGCAAAAATTTGGCAAAGTAATAATTTTAATAAGTCAGTCCTAATTTTCCAGTTTTATTCTACTTCATTTATATTTT